CTAAATGTTTTCTCGCAATTAATTTGCATAAATGACAAAGTTAAAATGTATTCATATGCCAATAAATTAGTGTCACTTGTATGCATATTGCATCTTTTAAAAATTTCATACGCGCATATTCAACATTTGTTACACTTATTATCACACTCTGAGTTATTATGATATTGTAATATTCCTTCTTCTTCATTTGACTCCTCACTTGTTCATACGATCATCTTCCATTTCATTTATTCTGCTACCATATCTTTGAGTACACTGGCAAATGAACATTATTCGTTACGTAATTTAACACGCAATATATATATCTTTACTATTTATTTCATCAAGATAGAAATCCTGAAATCATACTTCCCAACCTCATAGGATTTTCCACACATTTTAAGAGGAAATTAAAAATTATTCTATCTGCTGAATATCCTCAGCAATATAAGATTTGCAATCTAAATTTTAAATAGTTAAACATTTTAAAAGGGGGTATATCATTAAATTATTTTTCTGGCATTCCATTCCTTTAGAGCCTGGCATAATTTCCTTCTTTTTTCTTTTTTTTCTCTTTAGCTTTCACCTTTTCTGGTGGTAAGCTCCTTCAACATCTCTCTCCACTTTATGTTATTTATACAATCTCTTATATCTAATTTATACTTCTTTATATTGGCTATAAATTTATGGCCCCATTGAAGTTTTGGCCTTCCACTTTTACGTTTGCTCATCACTTCCAAGCTCTCAACCTTATTTCCTATGTAGTGATAGGCCTTCTCATTGTGTGCCCATATCACCTAAGTCTGTTTACCATTAACTTAGTCTACCTTTAAACTACTTAGTATTCTTGTATTGCGCACTTTATCCTTTCTTGTTACTCCAGCAATCATCCTCAGCATTCTCATCTCCATAGTTTGTAGACTTCTCTCGTCTGATTCCTTGGTTGGCCATGTTTCCGAACTATATAGAATAGTTGGTTGTATTATGGAACTGTAAATTTTTCCCTATAATTTGTGTGGGATTCTTTTGTCAAATAGCACTTTTAACCACCCATGATTAATTTTACTCTTTATCTCTTTTTGCCGTTTGTTTGTATAGTGGAGCCCAAATATTTGCAGGTTTCAATTGCCGATATCTGCCATTCATTTATATCAATACTCTTTGTTTCATCTCCTCCTATCACCATATATTCCGTCATTTCTTTATTTACTTTTAGTCCGTGCTTTTTTAGGATATTTATCTAATTCACTAATCTTTCTTTCATTTCATTCTTGGATTCGGCAAGTATCACAATATCATCTGCAAATATCATATTCCACAGGACTGTTTGAGGTATAGATTGTGCTAATACATCTATTACTGTAATGAAGAGAAGTGGGCTGAGAGCCGATCCTTGATGAATTCCTTCGGCTATTGTGAAGCCTGCTGAAGTACCTGTTGTGCTACGGACCATTGTTGTATGGCCCATATACATATCCTGTATTATTCTTATATATTTTTCGGGAACATTTTGTGGCGTAGTGCCCACCAGATAAGTTTTTCGGGATTCTATCGAAGGCCTTTTCTAGATCGAGAAATTTTTTGCAGCTTTCTCAACTTATTTTGGCCAGATAAATTATTCTGTTTTACCCAAGCATCCATCCTTTAATCTGATTCACCGACCTGGATTTTATTTGATTTCAATGAATTAAGAACAAGAAATGTTGGCTATATTATTTCTACAATAAATCAATGTATAAAAATGTAATATAATGAATTAATCAAAACTTAGCTTTCACTCTACTCAAACGGAAGCGTTTTTATTTCATTTGAAAAAAAGCAAAGAAAAAAACGAGGTAATGATGTATAGCGTCAAGCCACGTTACTGGTATTTTATGCATTAAATTATAGTAAACGACATGACAATTGTCAAGGAATGTGATATTCAAATCATAGAGATATCATTAAAAATAAATAAATAGTAAATAATGTGAACATAATAATATATTTTTTTTCTAATCGGCCTCTTTTTTGATATTTTCCTCTGATCGGCCTCAAAAATCGACATTTAACGCGGCCTCATGGGCAAAATGCCCACCTGGTCTTATGGCCAGTCCGCCCCTGCGTTGATTCTTTACAAAACCATTTTCCAGTTGACCACTTCACGGTACTAATTATCGAATTCTTCGCGCGTTTAAAGAAACCATTGACAAGAGCGCATAGATCAATGATAGCGAGAGGATTATATATCATTACTCCGAATAAATTACCGAGGAGCCCCGAAATAAAAATAAGTATGCAGAAAATTTTAGTAAATGAGTTTATGTTAAAATTACTAAAATGTATTATAGAAAATTGGAACAAAGTTGCTCTTCTTCCATATATGAATTGATTAAAATAAGATTTAGCGAGCGTATAATTTAACTAATTATTTTGGCCCGCCCCTATGAATTTCTTTAAAAAAAATCCAATAAATAATTCAATACATTACTTCCGCGTATTTATATGTCTCAATTTATTTTATATTTTTAAGTTTTATAATATAATTATATATTATGATGATATATATCTCTCAATTATAGATAAATTTTATATTGTATTTTGTTTTAAAATATCGATAATATAAAGCTCCGTCTAGAATTAATAACAAATTACACAATTTTTTAATTGAAATGCACAGTCTTTTTTTTTTTGAAAAATTATTTGCACACTTATAATAAAATCCTTCTATATTTTTAAATAATAAAATCGTTCTCTATACATTTAAATAGTATAATAATAAATTATAATAATATTTTACTTGCCCAATTTGAAAAGTTAATATCCTGAGTGTTGTTAAACGGCCCCGATTTGGGGTCGATTTTAAAAACGGCCGATTAAGACTTTAGCCAATTAATATTATGTAAGCCGTGAGATTTGGTAAAATAAAGATCCAAGTCTTTCTGCCATCTAAGAACAAAATCTCTAAGATATAATAATATTTTGGTTTAAATCCTATTTTGGCCATTTTAAAAAATCGATCCAAATCGAATCATCTATAACCAAATTGAATATTAATAAATCAAAATAATATCATCCCTTGTGGGGTTGCCATATATATATAATAGGATTAAATCACTAAAATATATTAATTACATAAATTACAGTTAATAGGGCTTTCAAAAATTTGGTGGACTTTACAATTGATAAGTAAAATAATTGTCTCAATTTGGTTTATTTCGGTTTCTTTTTATGTGATAAGAATTAACAAATACGAATCAGGCAATTATCACACGATAATTATCTCAATATTTTTCTTTCTGATATGCTGACAATTTAAAAAAAATTTCTTTTTATGTTACTAAAACATACATAAAATATAAATGGGATAGTTGTTTCCTCTCCATTTAGGCAAATTTGCAAATTTTTGAAAATATCACTTAAAGATACAAGAATTTATATTTCTACACACCTTATACCCTTCTTTTCAAAAAATAAAGAATGCAATATATCAGTATTTAGCAATCAAATTTATTATAAAAAATATATAAGCTGACATAAAGACATCTAGTAAAAGTTCTGGAGGAACATATTAATCTCATCCTCTAAAATACTGTTTGGCGCTTGTGCGTCAGATATTACGTAACATAAATAATTCATCAAAAAGAAGGTTATAAGAACATAACTAACGAGTTTAATCTACTAAATAAATTAAGGAATTAAATTCGCTGTTTATGACAATCATAGAATAAATATAATTTTCGATCTATATTTGAATTTAATTAATATTTGATTAAACATAATACTCATTAATTATTCAAAAGACAATTAATGAGTTTTAAACTTAAGGTGATTTATAAAAATCAGCATCTACATGAGAGTGATAGGGTGGTAGGTACAGTTTGGTTCCAATTTTTTTAAGGGGGATATGGAGTAGACATTTAAAGGTGATAGGCTAGAGGTAGTATAAATTTATTGGGGGGGGGGGGGTATTTATTATATTTTTAGATAAAATAAGGCAAAATATATTACTGTAAAAAATTATTTACTATTTTTATTATAGACCAATTATAATAATACAACAATATTGCTAAACGTTGACCAGATTTGTATATTGCAAACGATCATAATCATTATTTTTCAAGTAAAACTTATTTCTGGATGATATCTTTTTGAATGTTAAGATTAGCCATTCTATCAGCAAACTTATATTCATGCAAAACAATATACTATAATAATGCATTACATTCATTGTAAATGAAGAATCTTTTAATTATTCATGTTCTAAATAAGAACTCTTTTACATTCATTTTTTTTTATAGTTGATTTGATAATAGAGTATTGATAATTTTAAAATATATGTAAGGAGTACCATTATAATTAAAAACGTGTAGTTCGTTATGTGGAAATATTGGCATACGGCTAATTTTTTTAGGGGGAGGTAAATATTTAAGGGTGGTTTGTTTCCAGTTAATATCCTGTCATGTAGACGGTGGTTTGCTTATAATTCACTTTTAGAAAATTTCCAGTATCTATTTAGTACATCCGGAAAGTCTCCTCTTTCCACATGCAAAACATAAGAGTTAAACTTACAAAAAATATTAGTTAATGAATCTGATATCATTCTATCATACAATTTTAAAATATATTATATATGAAAATATGATATGGTCGAGTTTTATAAAATGCACCGCCCGGCCCGGATTTATCTAAAAAAAATTTGCAGCGCCTGATCTTTGGTCTGGCCAGCAGGTCTCTAATTTTAATAAAGAAATAAGGAAATCTGACCACCAAAATTATCCCAACTTCCTACCCTCTCCTAAAATTTAAAATAATTACTCAATAAAATGGGAATAGTTTTATTAATTTTGGTATAATTTCTTTTTATAATAGGTATTATTCAATAAAAAATAAGTTACAATGGAATCAAAATATTTAATTTATTATGTAATTATTACTTATATTTATCCAAATATTATTTATACATATATCTAATTATTTTTATTTATTTAAAAAAAGTTTATTTAAACTTAAAATTTAATCATTATAGTTTTTCGAACCCTTTATGAGTGAATTTGAAAATTAGTAACAGGCGTTTGAACTTTTTCAAAAAGAGCAATTTTGATTTTTATAACACTTTGCAGTATCTCCGTTAACAAAAGTTGAAGGACAAGTGATAATAAATATAACAATACTCCCAACAGGGAATTTAAGCTAAAATACGCCATTAATCCAATTCCGAATATGCTCAGGTTTATGTATACGTTAATAATATTTGGGCGGTACATTTTGTATTCATCCTTAGGGAAACGTCTCAATTTTAATGTGAGCCAAAGAGATAGGGTAGCAGTAAAAACATGATAGAATATTTGAATGAAAAAAAAATGTAAATTGGCTGGGTAAATAGCACAACTGATTTCAACTATCCCATAATCATTGATATCCGAGCTTTTAATGGATTGGCTTATATTTGTCAAGATCTCTTTTTGATATGGTGTGAAGGCTCCGTATATTAGGAAGATTATATTCAATGTTATCTAATATATAATATAAAAATATAAGCTATTTTTAAAATATAAATTATTTATTAAATAAAAGTATTAACAATATACTCTAAAAATATTGTCATAATTTCGGAAATTCGCGCAATTATTTCTTTTTTAAGTAGGCTTATTCATGTTAACGTCAGTATACCAGTTTATTTTTTGAATTTAGAATCATTTTTTGGAGCCCGCTTTTAATTTTCACTGGAATTTATTCAAGTGTAAAATTTCTATCAAATTTCAAACAAAATTAAAAAATGTAATAAGAAAAACGAATATAGATTATAAGTAGTTAAAAATTTAATCCAAAAATTTACGCAGTAAGTATGCAACAGATGTTTAAATAGATTTCCTGTAAAATTGGAATTTTTTTTTAATTTAAAAAAAGCGTCGAAGAAAGAATTAAATTTTGCCAGAACACATTAGTGCTAACATATTATGTTATATATTTGGCGGTGATATAAAAATGTTAGTGTTTAAAAAACAATTAAATATAAAGAAAATGTCAGAATCCCAGTTCCGTTTCCGTTCTATATATCAAGTCGCGTTCCCGGAATGTCTGGAACATTCGGTTCCGTGCCCTTGGCTTAAATCCTATATTGGTTTTTAATTTTTTTACGAAGTGTTTAACCGTAATTATCTTGCAAAGCGTATAATATTTTAATTATTTGCCTTTAAATGCCAAGTAAAATACTAGTTTTAATTTTTAATAGTATATTTTAATTTCTGATTACTATTATTCATAAGAATTAAAAAAATATTTTCGAGTATATGTTCATTCTAATATTTCAAAATTCTTAGCATCATATAATTTTTTTTATAATGGTAATGAATGAGATAAAAGTAGAGTATCGAACCTTTTGATAAATATGTTCGGGTTCAGATTCCAGGAAGAATGAATGAGACAGATTAAGGAATTATTCAAAACCCTTTAATGAAGGCTCAGGTAAAATAACAAATTTTTATATCCCATATATAGGTCAATATATTTTTTATCTTATTTTATGATAAATATATAAAATAAAACTTCGTTTTAAGGACGTCTGCCGCATAATCAGGAAAAATTTTGGGAAGCCTCGTGAAGGCTTTTTCTTAGGTAGTGGATCGCAATAGCCATTCTTAAAGCGAATTTTGTTTGGGTTATTAAATCAAGTTATCCTGATGAATAAGGGGTTATTTTTGGAATAATGTATTACGGGTTTATATAATAAAACAATATTATATTCGCTCTTATTTTTCCATTATATTTTTATTTGTGTTCGAAATTGTCATTTTGTTTATATAATTGGTTCTAACCACTATTATATATTATATAACTCAAATATAATCAAGAACATGTTGAAAATAATAAAATATTTATTGTTTAAATTTGATTCAAGTTTTCAATTTTTATATAAAACTATGAGTATAATTAGAATATCACCGAATATATCTTTGTCCAATTTTGTTTTCTGTGATAATAGAATATATTTCAACCTTTAAGAATGATCCTTAGAAAGTTTTGTAGCTGGGATATGCATGGCTATTGAATCTTCTTCTTTCGCAATATTCAAGAACTTCTGTGTTTTACTATTTGATCTTGTTTTATATTGCGCGATATATTTCGACGTTTATTATTTTCTTTTATTAACAATAAGGATAAAAAATTGTCCTCGAGATTAGATTAATTATTTTACTAATAATTATGGCACGGAATTATTTAATTGCATTCCCCAATTACATATCAGGTTTGTTTAAGATGCTGGGGATTAAGCTATAGACATTCATATAAATCATTTTTATTTAATATCCCTTGATTTTATGGAAAAAAATTAGCAAAACGTCAAACTTTATATTAATTTTTTTAAATTACAATCGTGATTAGGAGATAAGGATAGTAATCACATATGTTTTATTTTAAAAATAAGTGCCCAAACCTCCTAGAAACCCGTCCATTTTGACTTTATTTCAATACTTATTTTATCATTTTTTAAAGATTTTTTGGCAAAAATATTTTTACAAATTAATGGTGATCATGGATCTTCCTTTAAAACAATTCTAATTGCCGTGTTACGAGGAAATTAAGGTTTTATATATTTTTTTAAAAAAAGGTTTAGTTTATATTCGATAAATATTAAGTTATATAGGTTCGATTTTAGAATTTTGGTTTGACACTCTAGATAAAAGTCTTTAAAATTATTCATTCAAATTAATATTCATTTGAACAAACGAATAATGAATGATTATTCAATTACAAATTATTTATTCGAATAATTCAAATTATACTTGTGATCTGACAACGTGTATATATTAGTATAATTTATTAAATTACTTGAATTGCTGCGAGAATGAGTGGTGTTTGGATATAAAAGCAATTGCTAGGAACTTTAATTTCTTCCGAAGTCTGTAATTTTATTATCCTTTTTCTTATCATAACTATTATAATGTGCATTTTGGTAGATAGTGAACAAAAATGCATGGTCAAAGATAGAAGCAACAAAAATTGTGCTGCCGCGCATAAATAATAGCTGGGTTTAATTAAAATGTATAAATATATAGACAAGAGGCCCATAATAATTCCTAGGCATTGAAAAGCAATAAGAGGCTTTATATCTGATTTGAAAGCACGGACATTTTTATGATAAATGTAAAACACAATATATAGTACAAAGTAAAGGAAAGAAATCGATATAAATACACTTAAGAGATCTCGCCATATTTTGAGATAGGAATATATATATCTGGCTGGTAAATTAATACATTTGAATCGGTTTTTAGGGTCGGGCCAGGTAAAGGCGGGACAATTGTAGCAGGGTATGCTTATGTTTTTGCTATAAACCTCCCTTTCTAAGCACTCCACGCACTTCCAACAACATATCACATCCGAAGGTATTTTAACTTGATTATCGGTGCAAGGCAAACTACAACTAGAGAGTGGGGCATTTTCCTCATTTTCAAAACTATAGTTTTTCCAAATTAAAGGAATGAATATTGTGAGTTGATTTTTGAAGGGATTGTAAGTGCCAACTGTTTTATATTCATAAGTACGGTAGAAAATTTCATCCGAATTGATAAAATTACTCTTAATATCTGTCCTTTGTATCATTTGAGCAATTTTTATTACCTTAATATTAGATTTAAATTTGTTGAACTTAATATTTCCCGTTCTCCCTACAAAAGAAACATTTTGAATATAAGGAATAAGTGATGCGTTATTAACACATTCTATTAAGCTATTATTAAACATTCTATCCTTTTTCTCAGAGCAAATTGTTTTTAACATATTTTTTATGGCATATCCCAATGTATCAACAGTGTCAAAAATGATGGAAAAACGTTTATCATATATCTTTTTTGTGGGAACACTTGAATTAAACTCCGAAAAGCTAGTTTTATTTCCGAGGTGAGAAAGTGAAGAAGTATTATAATTTGTGCCTAAAGCCATCATTTCTATCCACGCTAACTTGTTAACTGCTTTAAAGGCCTCCATCCACTTAGAAAAATCTTCAATTTCTCTGCTAAACTCGAATATCGTTATAGTTCCAAGGGCTGTTTTAGCCACACCTTCTTCAACTATTTCATGAATATCGGGCCAATTGTCGAGAGCCAGTAATATCAGGTCGTGGTTTGGAGCTAACTGTTTTATCAATTTTAACACCAAGATATATTGCTCCTTAGGGAGAAATAATAAAACTAGCCTTGATTTCTTTGAATTCTCTATCAACTGTATAAAGGATTGTCTGTATAAGTTCATAAAAGCCGATGAGTTACCAAAATCTTGTGGGGATAAACTCAATTGTAAATTAACGCAAGCTTTTAGCTTTTCCAAATTTTCCAAAATCATGTTTTTATAATGCGTAAAATATTTATTTTCATAATACACGATGGAAAAAAGATTCCAGTCCATGAGTTGCAACAATTTTACTATGGCCTGAATATAATATATTTGATCAGTTGCCATAGTAAAAAGTGATTTCAATCTTGATAATTATTTTAATGAATTTTAAATAAGAAAATATATATATTTTTTTTAAAAAATATTTAAATTACAAAGCCTTAATTCTTCTCGTTAAGATTACATTCTAACCCTGCTTCAAAAATATGTAAAGTTTTACAACTTTAAAAAAACCTACTAATATTTGTAATTTTCATGTATATTTTGTCCATATTTATATTTCTCAATTTCTAAAAAAGCTTATTTTCCAATTTTCAATAAAGTTTTGAAAGTTTTAAAATAGAATATTTTAACATTTTAGACACAGCCTGAAGAAAAATATTTTAAATTTGAAAAATAAAATAATAGTTAATTCATTTTTATACTTTTTATCAGCTCTCAAAGAGTCGGCATTAGCACCTGGACTGATTTGAGCTATTTCAAATTTTGACAAATAATTAGCGACTAAAGATGTTTCCGAACTGGAGAAAGGACCGAGTATGGCTACGATTGGGTGCAAAGTTTTACTCAGTTTTATTAATTTGATAGCTTGAATCTGTGGATAAAGATAAAATAAAAAAAACTTTTTGATAATTCAGAAGTTATGGATTATGGTACTATTTACAATTTGTTATTGATTTATCTTAAAGAATTTATCATTTCCTCCCCACTAAGGATACAAAAAATATAAATACAATATAGCCTATATAAAAGAACCAAGCTTGCAGCTTGCCCAACCGGCACCTCGAGAATCGTATTCGCCTTTTATTTATAGTGTAGTAGATTTGATTTCTGGATGAATAGAGACCGGGGGAGGGAATGTTTTAGGAATACCCGTCCCAATAATTTATTAGTAATAAATAGATTCATCAACATGGGGGAAAAAAAGTTGTTTACAATGAGTAGACGGATGCAAAGGTCCAGTACCAACTTAAACCGGTTCAACGCCATAATTATCGGTATAAAATTAGGCATTTAAATAACCTAGACGAGTTTAGCGTTTAGCATGTTACCGACATATTTAAAGAAAACGGGTACGGGAAATCTTTTATTTCTATTTCCATAGTCCTGGTTAACATGTCAGATGATAACAATCGTTGGCTCGGCTAGAAGTATGACTTTTTGGTCCGAACCATCAAATATCTCTAGATCAATTTAGCGCTTATTGATTCTTTTAAGACATAGCATCCAAAAAGTAAATTTATTATCACAACTCTTAATGTCAGTTAAGTGTTGCAAATATAAACTTAGTCTGTAGACATTATTCCTGTATCTTTCTTGAGTTATTTATCGAAAGAAAGAAACACCCATTGATATAAGCCCAATCAAATTGGAATTTGGTTTTTGTCCAGCCAAATTATTTGGTCGAGCCCGTTTCCAATTTTTTACTAAGGTTTCTCAGCCCTGCCCAGTTTTTTTACATGTCCTAACCTGAAAATATGTAGTTAAGCTATTTACATTATTTGGGAATAATTAACTTAAAAACACTACACTTTATGGATTATCACTTTTATAAATATCAGAAATCATTAATCCAACCCAATAATATTTATACTACCCGGCCTGTTTATTTATTTTTTGACCCGGCTTAAATAAAAATTTTTTAATGCGCTGGGCATTGCATAACTTTAATATCAATATCTGGTTTTGTATTTATAATCCTTTTAGGAATTTAGTTTTAACTTAAAATATTTATTACTCCCGGGTTCGGACTTTAAAGGCGTTTTTTCTCGCTTTCTGATGCAGCTGTAAGAATATCCGACACGAAGCCTGACCCCATAAATAAATATTAAGACCAAAAATATCCTCAATAATCATTTCATAAAAATGTCGATCAAAAAAACACGTCATTTTTCATCTAACAACTATATATTTTTTAAAGCTAACTAGGTTGTTCCTTCCTTGGGGGATGATATATAGTAGATTGGACTATACCATATGTTCCGTTTTATATTAAAAAATAAACGGGTCTTATATTTTGATAAATTTTGGTCGTTGTTTAGCAAGTGGACTAACGTCATATATCATATTACCCTAACTTTTTTTAAATTGAATAAAGTTTATATATATATATACAAAGTAAAAAAAAATGCAATTTTATATGAATATTGATTAAATTATGGGGTTTAAATTTTATTTATGGTGGTAATATATGAATAAATACACATGATTTTTGTTTCTTAGATATTTAAACTTAAATTGTAAAAAAAAAATTGATCAGGGTTAGGTCGGGTTGGGCCTAAAAATGCTCGGGTTTAAATTGGGGAAAAAAATTTTACATTCGGGCTCGGGTGTAAAATCACTTTTCTAGGCTCTATCTGGCTAACTTTTAACCTAACCTCACCCAAGAGGTGGTTTCAAAAAAACCGATCTTGCCAAGGGATGATAATATCCAATTTAACTCAAAATATTCTGGATATATTGAGCCTAAATATTTTATAAAAATACGTTTTTTATTCTATATTAGCCCTATCTGATAACTGGCTAAGCTTTTAGTCATAACTCTAATCTCGTCAATGAAGTTGATTTCAGGATATATATAAATATAATACTAAATAGGGATATAGAATTCCGGGGAAACTATAAGAAAAATATCTTATAAAATTTGGAATGATAACGGGAAACAACGGGAAATTTTATTTAAAAAATTATTTTACAGGTGTATACTGATTTTTTCAGTTTTATTAATAATGTACAGACCATTAATATATTATTTAAACAGGCAAGATATAATTTAAATATTTAATTTGTTATCTTCGTTTAAAGATGAAAACGATTCCAGATCTCTCACTTCCAATACCTATATTTGTGTAGAAATTACTTTATAAAATTGTATAGCTGTGCGAGATCATTTAAAAAACGTAATTATCAAGAAGATTAAGTCCTTATCTCTATAAAAATATTTTTTGGCAGACTAATTAATTATTATATACTGTCCAAATCCTATTTTTATTTTTAAGTAGTTGTTTTTCCATAAATTTGTAAAAGAATGTTGGATTATACATATTTTATAATACTTTGGGCTTTTGCTGCTAAAATTTAAATTGGCAATATTCTATTTGCTAGATCCTTTAAAGCAAATTAAGTCCATGAGATGCAGACATCTCACAAGTGTCCATACTTTCTTCATTACTAGCATTACCCTTTATTATGATGTTAATTTTTGTATTTCCTATTTCGTCAAATACTTTAATAAATTCAGTGGATAATATTTCCCGTAATTGGTCCCTGTTTCAATTAATTATTAGAAAATGGGACTTGAATTTTCTATAATAAAATATATCATACATTCCACTCTTATATTTGTATACCCATTATTAATAAGGAAATTTTTAATCTTATCTTTCAGTTACTATATTTTAATCCCTACATATTCATTGTTTAACATCGCCGGGATGGCGTAGTGGTGTATGATGTATGCTTGGAAATCGAAAGTCCAAGGTTAAATCCTGGTAAGGAACTAAAAATTTTCAGGTGGTGATGGACATAGGCATATGATAAGATAAATTTATGAGTTGAGAAATGCCACACCGGTCACCGACAGGCTTGAACAGCAGGGTGTTAGGATACTTGTCCAATAAACCAAATAAGATGGCTTGGCTGAACTTGAGGGTCATTCAAAAATGATAACGATCTCTTGGCCAGTGCTAGGTTAATGATGATCTCGGGGGCCGTTCTAGCACAATGTATACCAAGCCACATGGACTTGATAACGATACTCCGGTGATAAATCCATCGGGATTGATACTCCGATGGGAGATCAAGCTTATGGAATCGATAAGAACGGTGGGATATCTGTAATACTTCGGTAGGAATACTCGGTGGGATATCTGTCGATATTGATACTTAGGTGTAATCAAGATACAATGACCTCGATAGCGATACTCCGGTGGGAGAACCAAATGGAATCGATAAGAATACAGAAATATAGATAAAAATAGATAGCATGATTAATAAATTGAGATAGATATTGAAGGAGCTTACCACCAGAAAAGGTGAAAGCTAAACAAAAAAAAATATTCACAGTTTAACAAATTTTTATTTAAATATCTAATAACAATTTTATTTTCAAATCCAATATTAAAAAAGATTACATTAAGATAAAATTTTGATTATAAGTTTTAACTTACCATTTACCATATTTTAGTTAAAAAAATATATATCTTGAAAGTAATTTAAATGCTATTTTTAAAGATTGTCTTTCAAATACACGTTGTATTGTGGAAAATGGACAATTTTCCATAAAAATGGCTGTTGCATAATTATCAATATATTTCATTAAATTATTTTTTCAGATATTTATATTATTATTAGTTGAATTAAAATTAGAAGAGGAATTGAACTATCCAATGTTACTCCTTATCCTTATTTCAGTTGTTAGTAAAAAATTTAAATATATTGTCAAATAATTTCCTTCCGATGAAAATTACTAGATTTTGAGCTATTATTATATATCAAATATGGAAATACATACAAAAACAAACACAATTATGATATATGAACCAAGAAAAAAAATATTATAAAATATGATAAAAATCTGGATTATTTGATATAAATTACATAAAATAAAAATTAAGGAAATATAAGGGAAATTCTCTTATGTTACACTCCTATCCTAATCCCAACACCTTGGTTACGTGTTTAATTTTACTGATAGTCCGGTTATTTCACTTTTCTGGTGGTTTTCTTTCTGTTTTGGAAGATATAATGTTTTCAAAAATTGGTTAGTTTTTCCTATGTCTTCTTTGCTTTTTCCAGGAAGAGTTTTAATTTCGGTGATATTTTTTCCTATTCCTATTTTAGTTTTAGGGTATTTAACAATAGTTTCTTTTCAAGACTTTACATAATGTTAAAAAAATTTAAAGTTATAGAAAAATAAGATAACTTTTAAATGATCTGTATAATATGAATTGCAGTAAATTCATAAATAAATTCATAAACAATTGGGTTTGAAATGTTAAGTTTCAATATGTTATGGAGAAAATAGATACTTGAATGTAACATTAGTAGCAATAAAATTTGTGAAAATTTAAAAACTTTTAGAAAAAAAAAGATATACTTAGGATATAGCAAAAATTTAATAAATTTTTTACCAGTGCCAAAGAGGGATTGGTGCACGTAGGAAACATGTAATATCCTAAGGTAATATTGAAACCTTTTTTCAATCTTTCGTTTAACATTTCCATACTGAATTGGAAAGAAAAAGCCTTTTCGAGCAAATATTGATCTATCCGGGTTCCACAAATACCAGCATTTCCCAGTTCAGGTTCGTATATCTCGAATAAAGCACCCACGTAGATATCCCCTGGAGAATAAAAAAACATACCTGGAAGATTTTTGATAAAAGTTTTATTATCGTTCAAAGATTTAAATGTGAAACACAGTTGGAGGGACGTATTTACCAATGGTTGGCACTTGGTCAAGGAATCGGATAAATTATTAGCAAGAAGAAGATTTTTTCTTTTCTCCTGAAATTGATCGGGATTGTTGGAATATTTTCTAGGTGATAAATATTTTGATCAAGAAAATTTTTTAAAATAAATTTTTGAAGATTTA